ATGAGTTGGCACATTAATTCATTGGTGGATTGGAACTCACAAAATCTTTATCCACCAATGAATTAATATGTCAACTCATCGGTGTTTAGGATAAGATGAGCACCGGTGCTCATTAGATCATTTCTATATATATATATATATATATTGCACCATTACTCCCCAAACTATGAACCATGTGTAAAATTTCATGGCCAACCTTTCGACTGAAAGACTCGTTATATGTTTAACGCCTGTGGACACTGCAGCAACGACTTTTTGCGATACACCCGCCTAAACCCAAAACTGATGTATGGGAAGGGCATGTTCAAAACCTCTGTATACCCTTTCCCGCCACCCTCAATCCACCCATTCCTTCTCCACAACCGTCATCTCCGCCGCCTCACAAGATTTCATATCCCTATGCTCCAAAGGCCATCTCAAACAAGCCTTCACCGCCTATTTCTCCCACATTTGGTCAGACCCACCTCTCTTCTCCCACCTCCTCAAAGAATGCATCGAACGCCACTCTTTCCCTCTTGCCCAACAGCTCCATTCCCTCATAATAACTGCCGGGTGTTCTCGGGACCGCTTCATTGCCAACCATTTAATGAGTGCTTATTCAAAATTGGGCCATTTGAAAAGAGCTGTAAAAGTGTTTGATAAAATGCCTAACAGAAATGTTATGTCCTTTAACATTTTGATTGGTGGGTATATACAGAGTGGGGAGTTGGATTATGCGATTGAGCTTTTTGAACAAATGATTGAGCGGAATGTGGCCACTTGGAATGCGATTATTACGGGGATGGTTCAGTTTGAGTTTAACGAGGAGGGGCTGACTATGTTCTCGAGAATGCACTCTCTTGGATTTTTGCCTGATTACTATGCTCTAGGGAGTGCGTTGAGAGGCTGCGCCGGATTGAAGGATTTGAGTAGGGGGAGTCAGATTCATGGGTATTCAATGAGATCGGGGTTGGAGTTTGATTTGGTTGTTGGAAGTTCGTTAGCTCATATGTATATGAAGTGTGGTAGCTTGAGAGAAGGTGAGAGAGTGATTCAGTCTATGCCACTTCATAACATTGTTGCTTTTAATACACTTATCGCTGGCAAATCGCAGAATGGGTGTTCCGAGGGTGCTTTGAATCAGTACAAGATAATGAAAATGGCTGGCTTTAGGCCGGATAAAATCACATTGGTGAGCATTATCAGTTCATGTTCTGAGCTAGCAACAATCGGACAAGGCCTGCAGGTTCATGCTGAGGCGATAAAAGTCAGGGCCACGTTGGATATTTCAGTTGTTAGTTCATTAGTTAGCATGTATTCACGGTGTGGGTGTTTAGACGATGCTGTGAAAGTTTTTTACCAGAGGGACGGAGCTGAAAATGATCTTGTTTTGTGGAGTTCAATGATTTCTGCTTATGGGTTTCATGGGAAAGGAAAGGAGGCCGTTGAAGTGTTTAACAGGATGGAGCATGAAGGATTGAAACCAAATGAAGTTGCTTTCTTGAGTTTGCTCTATGCTTGTAGTCATTGCGGATTGAAAGATGAAGGGCTTCAATATTTCGACTTGATGGTGAAGAAGTATGGACTGGAGCCTGGGTTAGAACACTATACCTGTGTGGTTGATCTCCTTGGTAGAGCAGGCTGTTTGGCAGAGGCAGAAAGTCTGATCAGATCCATGCCTGTAAAGCCTGATACTGTTACATGGAAAACTTTACTATCAGCTTGTAAAATCCATAAGAATGCAGACCTGTCTAGAAGAATTACTGAGGAAATTCTTAAAATGGATCCTCAAGATTCAGCCTCTTATGTGCTGCTTTCAAATATCCAAGCTTCTGCTAAAAGATGGCATGATGTTTCAGAGGTGAGGAAAGCTATGAGGGAAAGGATGGTCAAGAAAGAGCCGGGGATAAGCTGGTTTGAGCTGAAGAATAAAATTCACCATTTTGTTATGGGTGATAAATCTCATCCTCAGTGTGAAAAGATCCACTTGTATTTGAAAGAACTGACGGACGAACTGAAGTTGCATGGTTATGTGCCCGATTTAGGTGCTGTTTTGCATGACATGGATGTAGAGGAAAAGGAGTATAACTTAGCACATCACAGTGAAAAACTGGCTATTGCTTTTGCTCTGATGAATGCACTGCAGGGTGTTCCAATTAGGATAATGAAGAATTTGCGGGTCTGCGGTGATTGTCATGTTGTTATGAAGTACATCTCCAAGGTTAAAAACAGAGAAATTATTTTACGGGATGCAAGTAGGTTTCACCATTTCAAAAATGGACAATGTTCTTGTGGGGATTACTGGTGAGGTGAGTATCTCTGTTTTAAAGTAGATGGTACTAATTATATACACCTTACTTATAAGCTGTAGTGATGAATCATCACAAGGGGGGATAACAATTCAATTGATGTCATACTTAAAATTTCTTTCTGATTTTCCAATTATTACTGACAATTTTATGATAGATTTTCTTTTCCTTCTTTTTGCTCAGTTTTAAACAGGACAGATATCTCTATCTAACATTCAATATATGTTATGCCAACAGAGCTCGTGTTTTCCACCCATGTACAAAGTTGCATGATAGCCATGCCAGTTCAGCGTGTAATGTAAAAAGTCGTGCATTTATACGGCATCCACTTTATTTTCACATTGCATATACTGGTCATGAGTTGGAAAGCAACCTTTTAGTGGCACTAAAAGAAGGTTTGGCCCATGACAATTTGCCATACTGCTCTTGTTACCTTAAATAATCTAATATGATGGCACTAAATACATAAATTGCCTTCTCATTATGCTTTTTGCCTTTTTCAGTGTGAGACAGTGAGAGCTTGTATAGTCCACAGAGAGGGGCTTTCTTTAGCATTCCTTTCAATGAGATGGGTCTTGGATTTGGTATCTGTCATTCTTGAAAATTAAAGGAAACTAATAATAAGGAGGAACTTGTCAAGGTGTATGCATCTAAGAGGCCTTCTTCACCTTCCACTTAAGCTGTGCAGCATGTTCTGATATTTCTGCAGAAAGGGTGGAGGCAGCACTTTATTATCTATAACTTTGGGGGAGCACTTTATTATCTATTACTTTTTGGTCAACTAGAGCTGAGATGAATAGCATGGGATGCCTTTTTTTGGTCTTAGTTGCGAGAATGATAGTGATGCCACTATAGGGGATCATAATGCCCCAAAGAATGAGAGATTTAAATATTTTTCTCATCATTGATTATTGTGTATTGTTTAATTTTGATCTATGTAATAAGCTTTTATATGTAAAAACACGAATGAAATGCGACTCCTTATCTAGAGTTAAATTTGGCAATTTATTGCATATTATTGTTATTAAATTTTCAGTTGTGCTATTGAGATAGAACCAGAGTTTTTTCTTTTAGTTTCTTATAACCTGAGAGCCAGATATGATATTCTGCTTCATGAAGTTGTATATATTTTCTTTTTTTACAGATAGATGGCTTTTATTAATCTCGGTGTTTAGAATAGAGTAAAAATGAGTAGCCGAAACCCGGCAAGCAGTCATGGTTCAAGAACCATATTGCTTGAAAGGGTGGAAGGAGGAAGGTTAAAATGGAGGACTGAAAGCTTCATCACATGTCAACTGCTTGAGATCATTGTTTCCAAGGAACGGAAAATAACTGAAATTGGTTTTACCTAGATTAAAGTCGAGGTATTTTAGACTTGGAAGATATTTCTCTAGGGAAGGCATACTCTTCTGCATAGATACTCTTATGGGGTAGCAGGTCCATATCGGATAAATGTCGAAAAATGGCACTCCTCAACACTATAGCACATGTTGACGCTCTATGCGACATCTCTTTTTATTTTTTCGTCACTTTGTGAAAGTTAGATTGTGTACCCCAAGTTTCGATGGATAAATGTCGAAAAATGGCGCTCCTCAGCACTATAGCACGTGTTGACGCTCTATGCGACATCTCTTTTTATTTTTTTGTCACTTTGTGAAAGTTAGATTGTGCCCCCCGAATTTCGAAAGTCTGCGTCCGCCCATGATTGCATAGACTATATCCAGCAACTGTCACGAGTAGCTGAAGCATCAGTTTGAAGGTAAAAAGCGGGCTTTGCTTGGAGTCGAATATGAACATTTCTGAATTTGTCAATTTGAAGCTTTTAGCTATGGAGCACATGCTCAAGAAGCATCCAAGTTGGCAAGGACTGGTGTTATTATGACAGAATCTTATAAATATGATATTATTGGTCTAAACAAACAAACTCAGTAAGACACGACTGTAATATTTTGAATTTTTCTATAAGAAATTGGATTAATATTATCTTTTATAGGAGGGGGGAACTCATTATTTCAAGTACTCCGCCCATTTTCTCCTGTTCACATGGAACACGAACATGATTGATATACTGAACTGTGCATGATTAAAGAACCAATTTACGAGTTGATTCTGCACATTTTTAGTTCTTTGGTCATTTCAAGTACCTTTGTTTCCTATGTAACAACATAAGAAAATTTCAAGCAATTGTAATTAGAGTATCCATCCACCAATTCCAACAGTTAAAATTTTACATGTCCCAAGACAATGTCACCCTTCTTGATTCCAGCAAGAGTAATACTAAGTTGTTAATATTGTCACTGCAATGACTCAGGCTAGAGCACCCAGCCATAAATGGCACCGGAATCTTAAGCTGAAATGGATGAGTTCCGGTTTTGTACTTTCATTTCGTTCCCGGTTCAGACAAACTATCGCAATTAACAAGACCGATACAAAGTCTATTCAGACGGGGTTAAAGAATGAAAAAATGAGAGATAACAACAAAGAAAAGAGAGAGCAGGAGTCTTCATTCCCTCGAACCTATATTCTAACACCCCATGTAAGCATATATATTCCATCATCCCATTTCAACAAAGAATGAAATAAATCCAAACAAAACAAAGAAACCCGACTACATTTTTAGACGGAGATATCAGATTCGTTGTCAGATGAGACTGGAGAATCAGAAGCTTCAGCAACAGATTCAAGCATGCTTACCACCTCAGATGTATCGTCCAAATAATATTTGGCTTTGCTGGGTTTCTGCCCTACTGTACAAGCAAATACTTCGGTGTTGTAAGGAAGGGTACGTCTTGACACTGCAGAACCAATTATTTCAAACATATCCTCATCAGATCTGTCATCACCAATACACAGCACGAAATCAGCCTGTTTCCCCTTCTCAGCCATTGATGAGAAGATTTTTTCTGCAACTATTCCTTTGCTAACACCCTGGAAGGAAATAAGAAATGACAGACTGCATTTTATTAATGGAGTTTCAAGGCGATCAAAATCAACATTTGTATAGAATATGACCAACAAAAAAACTAACAACTAAAACCCCAGGGTATAACTAAAAATTGGAAAAAGAAAAAGCTTCTAATTGTAGAGACTTCGAAAATTAATACCTCATAAGAATTCCAATCAAAAGTGAAAGCAGTGGAAGATTAATTTTAAGTGATAAAAGTTTGTCCAAAAAAAAAGGGTGGCTAACGAAATGAAATTGCAACCATCTTAGGAACAAGTGAAGCAAACAATTCATGAAATGGGGCAGTATCAAGCGCAAGAGATAGAATATATGCGAACTACAGCAGTAGAAATATATAGCTGACATGCAAATAGAGATTATAAAACGTGCCTGAGGCTTGACTTCTACAATGAATTGCCCGCTCTTCACTGCAACAGGTTCATTTGCTAAAACGCTCTCTAGATGGTCCAAAATCTCTTTTGCCTGAGAAAAACCAAACCCGAGATCTGCATCCTGATAATGCCAGACTAGAGAACTTTCCTTTCGTTCTATTTCAGAACCATCAGTAGCCTCGGTATATGATTTCATAACAGGTTCAGCGAGCTGCATCCATTCAAATTCAGAACTCTGGCCATATGTTTCCCAATCTTCATGTTGTGGCCACCTGTGAAATTCTATGATTATAATCCAGCAAGCATTTACAACGCAAATCAAAGAGAGAGGGGGGAGGGTGGTGGGAATTTATGATAGAGGCCTAGTCAAGGGGCCAAAGTTACTAAATGCCTTGAACATTTTAAGTGCAAACGGCCTCTTATATTTTAAAAAGTCTAAAATACTCTTCTATTTTGTGGAGTTCAACAAACTTCATATAGAGAAGTCTGTCCACGAGGTCTGTTAAACAGACTGCAGTGTTTAACGGAGTCGGTTTAACAGGATGTAGTCTGTTAATGGCGGATTGTCACCCTCAATGGGAAAAGAAAATGGAACACCTAACAACGCATCTTTACAAACCAAGAACTATGATGAACTACGAGATCACCCCTTTCATTATGGGGTGTTGGAAAATTATTGGTTGGCATAGCTTGTGCTGAGATGAAGTCCGAGGGACTCAATAGAGTAAAATCAAAAGGTGCAAACTAGAACTTACTACAAGGCTATAAGGGGTGGGGTAACTAGTTCAAACCAAATATCCAACAGATGCTTCCCTCAATGGCTACTTGCTTGCTTTTTTCTGCTCTTCTCGCGTTGTTGTCTCGCTTCTTTCGTATGATTTATAAATAAAAATGAATTTGAAACAAATAAAATAAAATATGAATCTGAAAAATGAAGATTTCTAACCACGGAAAATGTAATTTTAAAATTTTCTTCATTGTGTGGAGAAGATCAATGATTTTGTAGAGTTTTGGATGGATTTCAAATGGCAGAGAGAGAAGAGAGAAGTCTTGTGTGAGTTTAATTTTGAATTTCAAATGATTGGAGAAGACAATGTTAATTGTTATGTAGAATTCTTATCTTAAAATTCAAATTCCCGCTCAAAATTTCAAAGATGAAAATAGAATATTTCATATTTATTCTGTCTTATCTTAGACAAATTTTGGCCTAGCATAAATTAGATGGGTCATCCGGCCATTTATGCATATTTCCTGAAAAAAGATAACAAGAACAACAATAACCCCAAAAATAAAGAGCAAAGCCCTTCCACAATTGATTAGATTTTTCATTGAAAACATGAGATTTAGAAATACAAGAAAAACAACATCCGGAGTAGCAAAAATTATAGGAACGTCTACATGGACCAGCTCCAATATGATAAAAAAACATAGCCCCCACCTCAAAATGCGCCTTATAAACCCACCAGGAGTATATACTTAGGATTGTATCACCATCAGGAATGATCTACTAAGCATCAGTGCTTAACCGGTCATGTAAATCAATTGGTAGATAAATTTATGGTGGGCCTCAATACATCAGGAAAATGTCCGGTGGGTCCTATACTGTTCGTATTCTTTGTAGTTCAAACTCACGAGGAACATCAAGGACATGCAAAACTCCGTTTTGAATTTTTTGTATATAAAATTGGCCAAATAATTAGTTTAATCCAAAAGTTATCTTAATTCGACAAATAGACACTCCTCAATTCCAAATTTCAACGGCTACAGGTTCTACTTTTTTGAACCACCACCACATGTCAGCATGCCATTTGTGTCATGCGTGTCTTTTTTTATACGGAAATTACTGAACCAACATTGAGATGGACTAAACAATAATTGTTAAGACTGATGAGCGGGAAGGGTAAAGAAACATACCTCAAAAAGTAGCCATGTTCTGCAGCAAGTCCCAGCTTCTTGCAAGGTGAAAACCAACTGCTTAAGCTTTCCCTCCCTCTTCCACTCACCATGAAAACAATATTATTTGGATCCCCACAAAGTCTGTTCAAGATAGAGATAATTTGTGAACTTGGAGTCTTAATAATAGAAGTTGGAGGCATCAATGTGCCATCATAATCCAACAATATTGCCCTGCTTTTAGCCCTACAGTAAGCTGCCACAATATCATCTATCGATAGCTTTCTAAAGTTAGGATCTAAAGCCACTACTCGGAACCCAAAGCCTAGACCAATCCCCCAGCATCTTTTACTGAAATGGTCCGCACAAGTTCTGTCCATATCTTGCAAGAAGCTCCTTGACCAAAAAGCTACGTCGTGGGTTCTAAGATAACGATAATGCTTCTCGTGCCGCAACTCTTTCTCTGGTTCAGCCATCGAAATCGCCTCATTCATTGCCTCAGCAGTTGTCTCAAAATTCCACGGATTAACACGAATTGCACCGCTTAGGGAAGGAGAACACCCAATAAATTCAGATACAACTAGCATGCTCTTCTTGGGTCCACTCAGATTTGAACCAGGTTCTGCACCTGATACTCCTTGTCTGCAGACAGTGTATTCATAAGGAGTCAGATTCATCCCATCCCTCACCGCTGTAACCACAACACATTCAGCAATACTGAAATATGCCATTCTTTCACTTAGTGATACAGGCCTATGAATAAAAACTATAGGCTCATATCCAGGCTTCCCAAATTCATTATTGATTCTCTGGCAGCTCTCCTCTATTTCAGCTTTTATTTCCTCCAAATGTATTCCTTTCCCTCTAGCAGGATTGCAAATCTGCACCAGGACGACCCTTCCTTGCCAATTTGGATGCTGCTTGAGCATGTGCTCCATAGCTAAAAGCTTCAAATTGATACCTTTAAAAATGTCCATGTCATCAACTCCAAGTAAAACCGTTTTACCTTCAAACTGTTGCTTCAGCTCCTCGAACTTCTGCTCTTTATCTGCAAGTTTCATTGCTGATTCAATATGGCCCATATGTATCCCAACAGGCATAATCTTTATTCCAACTGTCCTTCCATAGTAATCTAGTCCTATATAACCCCTTTTCGATTGATATTCCAAGCCCAACATCCGACTGCAACAGGATAGGAAATGCCGAGCATAATCAAAGGTATGAAAGCCAATAAGGTCAGAGTTGAGTAGGGCCTTAAGGATTTCTTCTCTAACAGGAAGTGTCCTGTATATCTCAGATGAAGGAAACGGACTGTGAAGAAAAAAACCCATTCTCAATCGAACGAACCGCCTCCTCAAAAATGTGGGGAGCACCATCAAATGATAATCATGAATCCAAACAAAATCATCCTCAGGATTTAGCACCTCAACCACTTTCTGAGAAAACAGCCTATTTACGGACACATAGGCTTCCCACATTGAACGATCAAACCGGCTTCCATGATTAGCTGAATACGGCAACATGTAATGGAAAAGTGGCCACAACTGCTTCTTGCAAAAGCCATCGTAATAGTTTCCCAGAAGATTAGGTGGAAGAAAAGCAGGGACGCACTTGAATTTTTCCAAAATATAATTGGCTACATCATCCTGTTCAATTGGATCAACATCAACAGGTAATGACCCAACGTACAGCACCTCCATGTCATCCGGAAAGCCATCCTTAACCCGCAAAAGCAAGGAATCCTCATTCCAGCTAAAATTCCACCCTTTATTGTCTGGCCTTCGCTTTGCTTTCAAAGGCAAAAGGTTTGCGACAATAATCATTCTTTCACCAGCAACTGAAGATGGGTTTTCTGATGTAACACTATTAGCCTGGTCATCATCTAGCTCGAGTATACTCCCAGGGACTGTCATTACCCTAGGGAACCGCTTTCGCTCCTTCTCCTTGCCCATTACAGGGAAATTCCCAGACGCCAAATCCAGAAGATTGGTATAAGATCTTGACATCATTTTGCCAAAATTTCTCTTTTATTCCTCCTCCCAAAACTAATAAACACTCCCTCAAATCTCAACACGAAACCCCAGAACCCAGAATTTTCTTCTTATCTTCAAATGGGAATTGTTCAAATGATCTGCATCATAGGAAAAACCACATTAGGCAACCATAAATCAATAGCCAAACCTAAACATCACATAAGATCAAAAAATCCTGAATTGAAGTTCATGAAATCGGTGAAAATAAAATAAATCAAAATTCGTATTAATCGAACAGAAACCCAGGTACAGTAACTCCCTAGGCGATAAGAACATACGATGGTCCAAAAAGAATCCCACTTTCAAAAATCCCAGCATCACAGAATTCCAATCGAAAAACGTATCCCAGAAATTGAAAACTGAAACTGACCTCTGAGATTGAACTGAGTGACAATCTTGACCCCTTTTGTGTAAAAAACTCGATCTTGAGAGTGAATTTGGGATGGGATTCTAGGGTTTCACACAAGCAAACAGAAAAGGAAATGCAATATGTAATGAATTAGTAATGGATATGAATATTCGAAGAAGAATTCGTAAATGTATTATTTTTATTAGGCGAGTCTGATAGAATAATAGCAGCATGTAAAACAAAACGTGCCAACAAATAAAAGAATCTCTAAACTTACCTCTATGTTCTGGCTCGACCTCTGTCACCATCACATCCCAGTTATATATGAGAAATTTCAAGGTGATAGTGTTACGGATCAATTAATACGACTTAATCGAAACTATAATAATACACTGCAGTTGTTCGCACAATCAATATTTTCACGATATCATTAAGATCAATTAATGACTTGGCTAAATCCAAAAATTCAAATGAATATGGATTGATCTAGCTGTCATCGAGCGGCCGCCCAACATAAAAATAAAAAATTCAATGAAGCCAGAATTTGTCGGGTGATGGCTCTGTATCTGCTCACAGAAATATTATCGTAAGTGTTATCATTCGCCCACTAATCACATGACAATTACATATTAAAAAAAAAAAAAATTTACAGCAAATAGTGGGTTATAGTTTGTTCCCATAATCAATATTTTGTGAGCATCATTAATGCAACTTGGTTAGAAGTGTTATTGCATGTATTATTACTGTCAACTATGTATTAAATTTTGACACTTTGTAACGGGTTACAGTTGTTTGCATCATCATTTACGCGATAAATTAATATGATTTGGCCGGAAGTGTTCTGGTATATTCATCAGTGTCACATCTCCAAGACTCCAACGCAAATTACGTACTAGAAATTTTGACAATTTTTTGTTTATGCTATCAAAATTTAATGTTACTGTTACAATCAATGAACGAGACTTGCATTTATCATTAGTATCATCCCTCTTCTCTATGGCCAACTATACATTCAAGATTTTTGCACTTCACGGTGGTATAAAATTGTTCATGAAATTAATTTATCGTTATATTTTTATGATCTATAAGTGTGATTTGATTGAATGTGTGATTAAAAAATAAGGAAATTTTTTAATTTGCGTGTAATATTATTTTATTTAAAAATGTATGGTTGAAAATAAGAGAGATAAAAATGTATTTTAAAAATAATGGGATCAAACAAAGACTTAAATTATAATTTATTTTTCTCTCTTTTATCAAGCGTACGTTTTTTAATGAAATAATATTACAATTAAATTTTAAAACTTTTCATTTATTTTTAACCACACATTCTCTAAAAATTACAATTCATCTCATTATAACTCGGAATCATGTGCCAAACGGGCGCTTAATCTACCCAAGATTTTGGTGTATGTGGGCATAGGTGAGATTATCATTGCCCCTAAAAGAAAGAGGATAAGGTTTTGAACAAGCCGACTTGGAATAGATCCAGCTGGCAACAACCACGCGCTGGCACGTTAAACTTACAGATGTGAACTCTTTGTACACGTATTAATAAAGCGCGTCTACTCTTTTCGATACCGGAATGTACGGACCTGGTCCAAATGAACGTGGACATGGCTGCCAGTTGGGCCTGTCGGCCTACTTTTAGCCTACGGCCTACCTCAACGCGTTAACTTTTTGTATTTAATGTGATTTTTTAATTAAAATAAATTATTTAACAAAAAACCTTTCGTCAAAATATCTTTTCATATGTTACTCAAAAAGAAATGTTATTCATCTCCATTGGGGGATGCATTCCCAATTTATGTGGCGTTAATGTGACATTAAATGATAGGTGAAATTAAACAAGTCATTTAATTTTACCTATCATTTAACCAATCATTTACATTCACATACACTGGGGATGCATTTCCACTGGGGATGAATAGCATTTTTCTACTCAAAAGCAAATTCTTACTGATTATTAGGTTGCAGTGATTCTTTGAGGGAAGTGATGAATTAGCCTTCATTTGATAAAATTTTAAATGATCTATAAAAAGTAATAGTCGTGAATCCAATAAAATATGTGGAAAATAATAAATAATAATTGAAACTAGTGTTTGACTTAACTGAATTTATAGATTATATAACGAGATGAATCTTCCTTAGGCATTTTTAATTTACTATAAACTTGGGTTCAATAATTTAATGATTTATTTGTTGAATTAAAATTTTAGTTATCAAATCACATGTTGATTAAACAAATTAAAGCAAGAAGTAAGCTAAGCCCCTGTTTGGTCCCCACAAAAATTATAATTCATTTTTTCCTTTTTTTCTTATGAATCACACATTATTCAATAAAATAATATTACACGTAATCCAATTTTTTTTAACCACACATCTTTCAAAAAACAATATTTCAACCATTAAAATTTCAAATAATGGAGGGCCGAACGGGAGCTAATTAAGCCTAAACGCTCCATCCTTAACTACGAAGTCAGCTAAAAAATAAATAAATAAATAAATAAATAAATAAAGGGTAATTAGCACATAACGTCATCACTTTCGTTGTTATCGTGAAAAAGTCCATACCTTTTATTTTTTGGCATTTTCACTCTTATTTTCACATTTCATTGCACAAAATGTCATTTTCACTTATTTTATCAATTAAAAATTATGATATGACAAATATACACATCTCTTTAAATAAAACAAAAAGAAAAAGAAAAAATTAATTGCAATCGCAGTCCCAAATTTTTTAAAAAGCGCAAATAAGTCACAAATAAATTATTAAAAGAGTAATTAATACATAATGTCCATATCTTTCACAAAAAAGTCCATACCTTTCATTTTTATTTTTAATTTTATGTATTTTCACCCTTAATTACACATTTGATTGTGCAAACCAACATTTCCATATATTTTCATCTAAATTTTCAATAAAGAACCGTGAAATAATGAATATACCATTCTATTTAAATAAAAAATATATTTTTTAAAATTTTTTCTTTAATAATTTATTTAGAACTCATTTGAATTTTTAAATGAATTTAATTGGGCAGAGTTTGCACTTTTTTAAAAAAATAATTTTTTTAATAATTTATAGTGGACTTGTTTGCACTTTTTAAAAACATTGGGATTATGATTACAATTAATTCTTTAGCTTTTTATTTAAATAGGATGTTATATTCATTATTTCACATCTTTTTATTGAGAAATTGGATGAAAATGGATAGAAATGGTGGTTTGCGTGATCAAAAGTGTAATTAAAGAGTGAAAATGTTAAAAAAAAAAAAGGTATGGACATTTTTCGCAATAAGTGAAAGATAGAGATATTATGTACTAATTACCCTTTTAATAATTTGATTGTGACTTATTTGCATTTTTAAAAAAAATGGGACTGTGGTTGTAATTAGTTTTTTTTTCTTTTTGTTTTATTTAAAGGAGAGTATATTCATCATTTCATAATTTTTAATTGAGAAAATAGATAAAGTTAACATTTTGCGCAATAAAATGTGAAAATAAGGTTGACGTTATATGCTAATTATCCATAAATAAATACTTGCCAAGCAACTTCACAAGTCACTCTATTTGAATTGTTACAATCTTTTCAGAAATTCTAATCTAATATGGGCCTGTTTGTTTGTCATTTTCACCTCTTTTTTAGAAGAAATATTACTGTTTATAGGCCCCGGCTTTGTCTCTTTTTAGATTTTTATCTCACACATTTCATTTTACGACGACTATATTTCTTATAATAATGAGCAAAAAATGGCGCCCAAAAAGTGTCCTATAATACCAACTTTTGCCCCAAACCTTCTAAAGGATCTCACACTGGTCGGAGAAATATAAGCGTACGGACAAAACGGTCATTTGGAGTCCGACAGCTATAGATGGAAATAAATCATGGATCTGTTAATCTTAGAAGATTTTATTGTTTGGGCTTAAAAATATTTAGCCCTCGATGGACTGGTCCACTATTTATAATGGTTGAGCCCAACTGAACAACACTCGGCCAGTTTTGAATTCGGTGGAGCTTAAATTGGGTCTTGTGTGCAGCTCCAATCAAACAAGGACAAGACAGATGTTTTGCACAATTAAAACTACAAGTAGGGTTGAGCATTTTACCCGTCAAACTGTAATTCTGTGGTTTGGAAGGTCAATTTTCAGGTTGGCTTGGCCCCCACCCGAAAATCTTGATTTGGTATTCGTTTTTCGAAAAAAAAGGACTTTCAAGGATATTTTACTGACCCAAACCAACTCAGATCGGTTAGGGTCGATTCTTAACTAATGTCTATTCGATTCAGCTTGGGATTTCAGGTTGGTTTGGCGGTTGTGTTGGTCCCAAACCCAACCCCAACTACAAGGAAAGTTAAAAAGAATTTAGAAAGTGATTATAATTTGAATTAATTTAATTTAGAATAAAGTTTTAGTAGGATTAGATTGCTGTAAGTTGTAACCATCCAAAGCATACCATTTGATTTGAAATTGGTAGCTTATCAAAGAACATCCTGCAGAGAAGCTTGACCCACTGCACTGGCAATCCGACATGTTAGTAATTTGATTTAACTACACCAACCACCTACTTCTATTAAAAACTTATGATTTTCACCTATTACAATAAAGTAATGCTATTCATCTCTACTGAAATTGAGCCACAATTTATGTGGCAATTACATGACATTAAATAATATATTCATTTAAATAAAAAGTCACATGACTCATTTAATTGAGTTTATCATGTAATTCTCACATAAACTGGTGCTCAACCCCAGTGAGGATGAATAACGTTATTCATTACAATACAACAAAGAAAACGTACATTTATCATCCGTTGAAATTTCTCAAGCCGATAATTATAGAGCAATTATATAAGGACATGTCTCTCTTTTGTATAAAGTATTGTCGGTGGAGGGATAATTCGATGTTCTCCTTTTGTAGCATTCCAATTGCATATTCATCACATGCATTAATTAAGATAAGAGTCATTTTCATTCTATGCCTAAATTTTGTTATTTATTTTTTTTAAATTGCTACATACAGAAAAGAAAACAGACGATGAAAAGAATGAAATTTTTAGCATATTGTGGCGCACTTTCTATTTATTATTGATATTCACGTTTGAAACTATCACATTGGAAGTCAATTCATCAACATATTCATCCTGTGCCGCCGCAGCACGGTGTCTCTGTACTGCAACGCCGCAAAAACACTGATGACTCCGGCAAATCCCCCAAATCACCAAACAAAAACTCATCCTCTTCTCCAATTGGCATGAACACTTCCAAGTCAGCTTGGGCCAACGTGGGACCCAAAAGAACAGGACTATCAAGTACCGTGCACCCAACATCGACCAACCAGCCAAACTCGCCCGCGAGCTCGGTGAAGCCATTGTTCTCCTGCTCGAGTTTTGGTGGGTTGCCAAATGTAGCACATTCTTCCTCGGCGAGAACAGTAGTGGCGGACGAGGAGGTGGAGGCAGCTACCGGCGTGGCAGAGTGGCGGTGGTGGTGGTATTTTGTGGTGGCGGGGAGAGGGTGGTTGTGGTCACAATAGTAGGTGATGAGGAGCATGGTGGGATCAAGGTGGCTCCGCTCAACTTGTTTCCTAGCAGGGCAACCTTTTGAGCTGCTGCACCTGTAATATCCCCTGCCATGCAATACATGCAAATGGAGTAGTGGACAACTTAGTCAACAGCAAACACTAGTATAAAAACAAATTATGCACTCCATTTGTCTTATTGGCCAAAAAAAAATTATTTAACTTTACCAGAGACTATTTTTTTTAACATTTAAGAAATAGATTGCAACATAATTGTATAATAGTGTTATTCACAAGTTGGGATATACTAAGGCTTTGTTTGGTCCACATTATTTTTTTTATTCTCATTCTTCTACTCATTTTTAACCACACATTATTCAATGAAATAATATTTTCCATCACATCAATAAATTTTCCTTCTTTTTCAACCACATATTCCCCATTACATCAACAGTAAAAATGCATTCTTACCTTCAAAATGTGCACCAAACGGGGACTAAGTCTAGAAAATGGGTGATTTCTTAGGTTTTACGACGAAAACAAAGATTTAACTTTTACGTTTCATCATTATCTATTCAGTATTCTAGTTATGTTGCCTCATACATTGTGGGGTATCATTTCCCTTGGAAATCACTAATCGAGAAATAAAACTTGTTGACAAGCTATATAAAATAAGTTACCGAAAATAAAGTGTAATCAGCAGGAATGAACCTACGAATATTCTTGGTTGAGTGCTTTACCCATTCAAGCAAAGAGACTCAACGAGTGAACTATGTTTTGGTATTTCTTCTCGAGCTTCTACTTTTTCCGTTAAAAACGATTTGAGAAAAGATATTGATGATAGACTCTAAAAACTTATGAAATGCCCCCCAAAAATTTCCAAATTTTGGTAGATGGAAGGTGGTGGCAAATAAACCAATGTTAGGCGCGTGATGTGAATAAATTTCAACTACTCCAAGAGCCCATTCAATGTATTTTATTCAAAGCCGCCTACGATAATCTAATCTAATCTATATACAGTTAACCATCACCTACTGCTCTCCGGCCGGCACCAACCGCAAGAAAGATCGAACTGGTTCATATGCTATTATACGCAAGAAAAGTAATCAAAAATAGATTAAATTTGAATCTTTACCTTGGATAAGGTGAACCCTTTATGGGTTTCTGGCCATATTTCCTCCAGGACCAAGAATCCGGCGGCGGATACCCCTCCGCTTTACTCCGGGCTCCATCACCGCCGCAGCCGCCAATTGGTATTGTCACTACCCTCTTCTTTGCGCCTCTCCTAATACAACAACTCCACGAAAATCTATATTTACTTGGGTTTCTCACTCCTCAATTGAGAGAAAACGACTAGACTGAAAGAAGAAAAAAAAAAGCAGTGAAATTTAAACCTTTTTTTGGGCGACGGCTCGTAAACTTCTTCAGTTGCTTCATCCCCAAGGGAAAGTGGAGAATCAGCCACGTTTTCTTGAGTGCTGGGGGAGTCGTCTTGCTCATGAAATCTACCTTCCATTATTATCATGCACTTGTGCACAAAATCTATATACGTTTCGTTTATCTATGTATGTATAGGTTTCATTTTACAGTTGCCGGAGGCGGAAAGAGTTGGTGGGAAATGGGGGAGGCGGTGGATGTTCTGAGTTCGGATTATTAATATATGAATGACAGATTGTCACAAGAATAATTTATTATGGACGTGCAAGCCAATTCACTTAAGCCTATTTGCCAGACAAGATTGTAAAATTAATCAATATAAATTATTAATTTATTCTTTCATTCACTATTCGATATGCAATTCATGCTTTTTATTGATATTTGGGTTTTGGTAAATGTATATCAGATGTACTGATGTACATAATGTTCAAATGTCATTTCATCATTGGCTGGTAGAAAAAAAAGACTGTTACAACCTGCCGTATATAATGTCCAAGTGATATTTTATCATTGATCGATGAAAAAAATTATGTACAGGAATGTGTAAACTCTGATGTACATGTAAAATAATTTTGGGTGTGTTTGAGCCAAATTATTTTGGAAGAATGTATTCTTGAATACTAGATTTATGGTGAATGTGTGGTTGAAAAAGAAGAAAAAGTTATTAATGTGATGAAAAATATTATTTTATTGAAGAATGTGTAGTTGAAAATGAGTAGAAGAATAAAAATAAAAAAATAATGTGGATCAAACGTGTAGATTTTTAGTGTGTTTCAATCTCATTAAAATGATAATAGAATTTTTGAAATAGTGATTGATGGGAGAATGCGTGGTGGAAAAGTGATGAAATTTTTTAGATTTGTATATAATATTATTTTATTTGGAAAATGTATGATTGAAATGAAGAAAGAAAAAAAAAATGGAATGATAATGTAATTAAAATGGGTGTTAAACAGGGGCTTCATGTGTGTTCTCATTTATAGAGAAAAGTCATATCAATCAAATCAAACAATTGAATGCACAAAATTATAGTATGATGTTAGCCAGGTCCCACTTATATTGACTATTCAATCAAAACAAAAAGGAATTTTGTTCTCTATGTTTCTCATGGTTAGCAAACTGGGAATTACAAATTAACCAACACTTCATCCCCATTTTTTCAATAACTCATTTTCAGCCCCGATTTGACTCACATTATTTTTTTTATTCTTATTTTTCTATTCATTTTCAATCACACATTTTTCAATAAAATAATATTTTTTATCACATCAATAACTTTTCTTTCATTTTCAACCACATATTTTCCATCACATCACTTCAAAAAAACGCATTCTCTCATTTTAATGTACACCAAACGGACTCTCAATCATATATTTTTTCATAAAATAATTTTATGCGTAAATTTGAAACTTATTTTTTTTAATTTTTAACTCACAATTTCCAACAAAACACTATTGTAAAATACATTTTGACCTAAAAATGGAGCTTAATGTATCATTATTCATATTTGAACATTTAGGTAGAAACTACTCAAAGTTTTTGTTTGTTTTATTAGAAATTCACAAATTTATCTAACAAATGTACTATTTTTGGAGAGATTCCAATTGAAGGGAAATTGTTTGGTAGATATACTCATTTTTGTGCAATTTCACTCCTTCCTTCCTTCCTTTCCTTTTTTTTTTTTCTTTTTTTTTTTTTTTTTTGGTCCTAATTTTTCCTTTCCTTAACCATGTTTGATTTTACTAAAAATATAATTTTTAGTAAATTTTGATAAAAATTGATGAAACGTGTGATAAAAACTTAATAAAAGTTGTGGACCTCTTGAATATGTAATTAAAACTAATTATTAATTTTAACATAAATTATTATTTATTTATTTTAGTTAAATCAAACCAGACTTAAAGTAATCAAGATTTGATATTGTCGCATATGCTGACGCCAACGAAGATTTTGTCTTAGGATTGGCAAAACAATATACCAAGTCATTAGAAGGCTAAAGTTCATATCCAGTACAGGTGGAATTAACGTCATTTTTTCTTATTTTACTTCATTGAAAAAGAATAACAACTCATGTGTCACGTTGCAAAGTGCAAAGCATTTATACAATTACAATAAAGATCGAGTCAATTTATACTAAATTATAATAATTCGAGAAACTCACTATGGGGCTTGGGAGTTTTTTTCGCTGATTTTGAGTGGCACCGTTTGTAAAGAGTTTGAAAAATAGGTGCTTGTTAGTTTCTTCGAGCACTGATTTTGGATGGTTTAAAGATTATCCAAAATCAGTATAGTATAATTTTGATCGATTCTCTCAACCCATCAAATCGACTGATTTTAGTCGTTTCTCATATTCTTGTCTAATTTTACCTTCTATAAAATAATTATCTCTAGTCAACACATTTTCTCAAAACTAACTTGTAAATAAAAATATATTAACTAAAAAATTATTTATAAGCAAAAAAATTACTTATAAGTAAGATTTTCTTGTCACGTCAACGAAGAATCATAAGTAAGGTTCTCTTACTATATCACAATGAGGAATTTTTATTTTATTCACTCGGATAGGAAATTTGGACTGTATTTTAACATATAATATTTGAACAATGTAATAAACAAATTTCTTATGCATATGAGGACTGCAGAATTTAATATTTGGTGCAGTGCAACTTCATGTTATATCATTTATGAATTATGATAGTCAACACTCCTTGAAAGCATATAAATTTGTCCACTTGAATGGGATCGGCCTTCAACAACCCACCCACCTACCACCCTTGGGGTAAGGGGGGGAGGTGACACCACCAACTCATTTTCAAAAAAAAAAAAAGAGAGAGAAAAGATAGAATGAAATGGCAATTTGAAAGAGTTTTTAGTGGAAATTTTAAGTTGCATTTGGAAGAAGTCAACACAACATCGAGGTGTTAAGTTTGTCTAAATTAATAAACATGAAGGTGATTCAAATTCCAATATGTTACGATCAACTTATAATTCATAAATACATATGAAGTGTGTCGAAAACTCGAGATAATACATATTTATCCAAAATTTAAGGATATTAAGTTGATCGTGAAGTAGAATTAGCCATCCTATCTAAGTGCAACATATTCTGAAATCAATAGTACATTGCACTAGAATGCTTATACGATTAATAACGGAAAATTTCTTTCTTATTTTTAAAAAATTTATAGGCGTAAAATAATTGGTAAAAATGTCGTTTTTTAAATAAAAAAAAATTGGCTACAATAACGGAACCCTTTAAATATTAAATCAGAATTTCACAATAAATAAATAAAGAAAGAATTTTTTGTAGGATTGAATAATAAAATAAAAAAGAAAAGAGAGACGTTCAAGCAACACAACACAAAATATTTTTATATTTAAAACCAAGACAGATAGCTCCAGTTTAATGATTCCTTGAATAAAAGTTTATTTACTATATAATATAAGATAAAATAAAATAATAATTAATTATTAAAGATAAGATGGCATCACTAATTAGATATTATAAATTAATAATTGATTAATTTATTTTATAATTGTTTAGGCAATGATAAAAAATGACCGCCTCTTAATCCGATTGCTTTCTTCTCTGAGAAGAGACGATGTCAACCTCAAATATTGCCTCATTAACAACACGATTATCCAAACAAAAATTAATATTATATTGTTGGGTTTATAACTATTAATTTTAGTCAAGGATTAGTGATTTGTTTGATTCTTCATGGGGAGATTTTGATATTCAAATGTGTTATTATTAGTTTGAATTTCATTTGAAAATCACAGCGCCCATATATTTAGAATTTTCTACATGGCAAATATAGGCGTGGATGTCAAGTGATTTAGTGAGGATATTTTGAGAAAAGGAACGAACGTATTCCCATTATGAGTTACAATGGAACCATTGGTCATACGAGTAAAGAAGAAAACCAGACGCTCCCACGGATATGGTGCAGTGGTAAAGCATGAAAGTTTTCTACGGAGTATCGAATGTTTGAATCCCCCAAACAGTTGGAAGGCAACATTTATGTTGAAAAGCAGATTCCCACAAGGAGGAGAACCCCGAATGTTCGGCTCAAGTATGTATAAGCTGTAACTGCATCCAGATTAATCCAAGTGGCAAACCGAGGGAAGACTGCCACTCCTCAGGTTTAGTCGAACGAAACTTGAACACCTGAATCATAGAAAAAAAACCAAACTAACAAAATCGATTGATTCTGATTCAGTCTGATTCTTTTATCCTTCAAAAATAAATTTTGAAGTATTTTTTTTATTTCACTTTAACAAATTTTAAACCGATTGGGTGTGACAAAGATTAAGTGTTTCTACTTCCAACATTTTTCTTCTGTTTCAAGGAACTATATGTTAAGAAATATATGATTATTTTGTTTTTATTATTTATTAAGGGTAGAATAGTCTTTTAAGTTTT